GAATGCTGCGTGTGTGCGCGGCCGTGTGTGCGAGCGCCTTTGCTCGGGGCTCGCTCTCCACCAGCGGCACGGAGCAGCACATGCTCTCCCCATGTGCCTGTTTACATGCTCTGTATGTCTGTCCGGCCTCATTTGTGTCACGGCTCGGCTGCAGACACCGCCGTGGGAGCCGCCCCCCGCCGCCCCCAGCATCTCCCTCCTCTTCCTCACCTCGCACAGCCCCCCTGCTCCCGGCGGGAATTGCAGCCGCTGCTCTGCCGGGAGCTGCTTCTCCTCCTCCTTTGCCAAAGCACTCGGGGCACCCCAAAACTTCTCTGTGCTCTGGGGAGGGGCTGTGTGTCCCGTGGGACAGGACAGTTCCCACCCCAAACCTCCATCCCTTGGGACCAGGGCTCTGTGTCCTGTGTGACCATTCCCATCCCAATCCCAATCCTTCAGGATGGCTGTTCTGGATGACAGGGCCATTCCCACCCCAATCCCCATCCCTTGGGACCAGGGATCTTTGTTCTGTGTAACCATTCCCACCCCAAAACCCCCATCCCTGGGCATGAATGTTCTGGATTATAAAACCATTCCCACTCCAAATCCCTGTCCCTCAGGATGGATGTTCTGGACGACAGGGCCATTCCCACCCCAAATCCCCATCCCTGTGGACAGGGCCTCTGTGTCCTGTGTGACCATTCCCATCCCAATCCCCATCCCTTGGGATGGCTGTTCTGGATGACAGGACCATTCCCACCCTAAAACCCCATCCCTTGGGATCAGGGCTCTGTCCTGTGTGACCATTCCCACCCTAAAACCCCATCCCTTGGGATGGATGTTCTGGATGACAGGACCATTCCCACCCCAATCCCCATCCCTGGGGATGGATATTCTGGATGACAGGACCATTCCCACCCCAATCCCCATCCCTGGGGATGGATGTTCTGGATGACAGGACCATTCCCACCCCAAATCCCCATCCCAGGGGACGGGGCCTCTGTGTCCTGTGTGACCAATCCGCATCCCTTGGGACCAGGGCTCTTTGTCCTCTATGACTGTTCCCACCCCAAAACCCCCATCCCTTGGGATGGATGTTCTGGATTATAAAACCATTCCCACTCCAATCCCTGTCCCTCAGGATGGATGTTCTGGATGACAGGACCATTCCCACCCCAAACCCCACGGTGGTGACTCTGGGCAGCCCCATGCTCAGTGACACAAAGATGAGAACAGGGAATTCCGAGGGAATTGAGGGCACACCCCAGCAGCATCCCCCACTCCTGGCTTCCCTTCCCAGCAGCACTCAGGGGCTCCCAGGGGCTCTCCCAGGGCAAGGATGGTTTTTTCATCCTGTGGAGATGATGTCAGGCTTGGTTCTATAGGAGTGGGGAGGCTTTCCATGGGAATGCCTCCCTAGGTCAGGGAAATCTTTGGTTTCACATCCATGACAAGCTGAGCTGCAGTCCCTCTTCCTCATCCAAGGCAAATTCCACCTTTATGGAGTTGAGTAAATTACCGAAATAATTTCATTTGGTAATTTACCACACCCTTAACCTAAAGTTTCTTCATTCCCTTGTCAGTGACATGGCAGCACTTTGATGCCCCTAAAGGGTCTCTAGTGGGGATCCCACTGAAGGGATGTTTTTCTCAAGACCTTCAGGATATTTTCCCCCAAACTCCTGCGAGCTGGCGGTCCCTAACAGCAGTGGGACTCTCTGGATCGATGTCCCCGTGCCCGAGGGGCACAGCAGGGTGTCCCTGTCCCATCCCAGCTGGCCTGAGCGAAGGTGACCCTGCCCTGCGCCCGGGGTCAGCGCCGAGCGCGGCGGCTCCTAAGGTGGCGGTGCCTGTCCCCATCAGCAGAGGTGACAATCAGCTGCCAAGTGCCGGCCTGACTTCCCCGCAGCAGCAGCAGCAGCAGCAGCGGCAGCAGCAGCATCGGGCTGCCTGCTTGCTTTGGAAACGCCTTCTCATTTCCCTCCCGTGGCGGCTCCGGCGCGCACACACGCGGCTTTCCAGGATTCCCTCACCTACTCCTATGGGGTCTCCAAAGGTTAAAAACGCTCATGTTCCCTGCATTTCAGGCCGACAAGGATCAGGCCTTCTGATGGCCTTATTGCCATGGCCCTGCAGGTCGAGGTCACCGAGCCTTCCCCTCTACAATCCATGGGACCGGCTGCTCCTGGCCATTTGGAGCATCCTCTGGAGCCCGGGCTGTGGTAACTGTGCCTTTGGAGCCAGTTACCTGGAAAGAAGAGCTGGAATGATCCCTCAGCATGGCAGAGGGAGCTGCTTGCTTCCAATTTAAATCAGGTGTCAACGCTGAGAGAGGATCCTCTTAACTTCCACCGTCTTGTCTGCGGCTGCGGCGGGGGGACGTCTCATCTCGCTGCCGTCTAATCCGTGGAGATGTGTGATATAGCATAAGCTAATATAATAGGTCATGCAAGGATTTACATCTCATTACGGCAGGTTAGAGTCCTGGCAGGAAGGATGACTCATCCTCACTTGAATATATTTCAGGGATGAGGAACGGTTCAGCTGCCTGAGGAAAGGCAAATGGGGAAATCAACCACCTCGGAGCATCATTTCCCAGCTCGCTGCACCCTCTGATTGTCCCCCCGGCTCTGCCTCCAGGTGGGCCACCGGCCTCTCCAGGAAAAGCTGAGGGGATGGGAGAGCTGCAGAACCTCTCTGGAGGTCTTTGCCTTGGCCTTGTGCTCCTTCCCTGTAAAACCCGGGCTGCAAGAGGCGGCAGAGCCCGAGCTGAGCGAGCATCCCCGCCACGAGGGGCGGGATCCGAGGCGCTGCCCAGCTTGTTTTCACCTACTTGCCTTGGCCCGGCGGTTCTGCTCGTCAGGAGCTGTTTGCTCTTAGTTCCTCAGACAGGGAGGCACCGTGGGAGCTGACCCATCTAACCCAGCTGGAAAAAATCGGTCCTGACTTCCAGTCTCTTATTGTTAATGGATGCTCGCAGCGAAATCCGGAGTGAGCGGAGCTCCCAGGACCAGCCACATCTGAAACCTGCTCTGAGCCCACACGAGGCTCAGGCCAGCACCCAAGGACACAACCAGGGGTGCTGGTCCTTCTCCCTGCCCCTCTTTCCAGCCAGACTGACAGCCAGAACGTGACCACGCTGCTGGCAATGGGACATCTGCAGAGCGCCCGGGGCTCCCAGCCTATTTCTCAGCAAGGCTGTGCCAGCTCATTGTGGGTTAAAATTAATTTTCCATGGGTTCTCCATGGGAAAGCGCTTAGGAGAGCCTGCAGATTGGTGTGAAAAGCAAAAATCATCACTTCAAAAAGCTGTTGAGGCTCCTGAGCTGCCAGCTCGGGGTGAGCAGCAGGAGCAGGGGCACCTGCCTGGTGGGGGATGCTGAGGGTGACACTGGAGTTGTGCCAAACAGAGGGACCTCCCTCATCCCAGCATCAGTTTGCACATTTGGGTGGACTCCAGGGAACTGCTGGCATCGATCAGGGGGCTCTGCTCTGCCAGGAGAGCCCTCACCAGGGCAAATCCCTTGTTGTCACCTCCAAGAGGGTGTCCCAATCCCTAAGAGCAGCACACTACCAAGCTGCTGGCCAGATTATTACCCTAGAAAAATGCATTATTTTTAGTCTGTTTTCCTCTTAAGACATAATTTTACCTTGGGTGGGGGGATGGGAGGAGATGGGCCATTTCCCCCTCCCTCTGTCACTTTGTTCTGTCGCTTCCCAGCTGTTCCATCATTTTAATCTGCAGAGATTGTCTTTATATTTCAGGAATGAAATGATTTCCCACAAGCCGGGATTGAGGTTTGGATCCGCGCTCATTTTTCAGGAGCAGAGAAGAAAAAAGGGAGAAATGTCTGTTAAAGCCAGGCTGGCCATCTGGAAGGGAGGTGCGTTGCTGATGCCATTAATTGCTCACCCCCCAAGGCCTGGAATGAGGCTGCAGTCAAAGGGAAGAGCAGGAGTGGGAGTGGGGCTGGAGAGAGCCAGGGGATGATGCAACACAATCAATGCCTGCTCCGTCCTCCTCATTTAGGTGATCAATGAACGCCCTCGTGCCTGTGTTCTGGGGGCTGAGAGCAGCTTCAATATTAATTCATATAATAAAATCACAGGATCACAGAATCCCAGAATGGCTGGAGCCAGAAGGAACCATAAAGCTCCTCCAAGCTCCAAGCCCTACCATGGGCAAGGAGACACCTTCCACTACCCCAGGTTGCTCCAAGCCCTGTCCAGCCTGGTCTCAGACACTTCCAGAGATGGGAATACTTCCAGGGATATCATTAATAGGATAAAGGGGAGGGAACTTTTGGGCACCAGCCCTTGGATGGATGAGCAAACAACAGTTGTGACTGGTGCTGGTACATATGGCTTGTTCCGAGTGTCAAGCCCGGCTTCCCCTCCTGCCAGACCCCAAGGATGGGGAACAGAGTGGGAGAAAGGGCGCTGGGGTGGGTTTGCTCCTCGCTGGGATGGAGCAGCCGGGAATCACGGAGGGAAGGGTGTTCGGGGGGCTCCCCGCAGCCCTCACCGTGCCTCCATCCACCCCGGTGTCCCCGGGAAGCTCTGGGGCTCCTTCTTCTTCCCGCGGGGGTGGCGTCACTCGCGGTGCCCCGGGGCGGGTCGGGACGGCGGCGGCTCCGCCCGGCGGAGGGCGGCGGGGCCGGGGGAGGCGGCGGGGCCGGGCGGGAGGCGGTGCCGCCGCCGCCGTGCAGGGACACACACACCGGAGCTGTGCGAGCCCCGGTGCTGCAGCGCCCGCTCCGCTCCCGGCCGGGACCGCTCCGCCATGGGCGGCCGGGCAGCGCGGCCCCGCTGACCCCGCACACTCCAAAATCCCGGCATCCCGGCCTCTGACATCCCGGTACCCCCGGCATCCCGGCCTCTGACATCCCGGTACCCCCGGCATCCCGGCACTTCGGCACTCCAGCATCCCGGCAACTCCGCTCTGCTGACCCCGGCTCTCCTGGAGCTCCGGACTCCGCCGTCCCGGGACCTCTACTCCGTTGAGCCCGGTTCCCCCATCTCTCAGCACTCCGGCATCCCGGGAACTCCGTTCTCCACCGTGCCAGGAACTCCGCTGCGCTGACCGCTGGTCCCGGCTCCTCGGGAATTCGGTACTCTGTCATCCCGGGAATTCATCTCCGCTGACCCCATCTCCTCCATAACCCCGTGCCCCAGCTCCCCGGAACCCATCTCCTCCTCCCTGGCTCCTCCACCGCTCGGTACCCAGCACCCCGGGAACTCCCCTCTCCGCCATCCCGGGAATTCATCCCCGCCGAGCCCCTCTCCTCCGTGACCCCGGGGACTCAGCTCTGCTGACCCCGGTTCCTCATCACTCGGTATTCCGCCTCCCGGGAAATTCAGCTCTGCTGATCCCGGCTCCTCAGGAATCCGGTACTGTGTGAGCTTGGCTCTGCTGATCCCTCATCCTCCATAACCCCCTATCCCCGCTCCCCGCGAACCCGCGGCTCCTCCCTGGGATCTCATGTCCCCTGTCCCCACCTCCTCCTGACCCGGTGCCCCCGCTCCCCAGGAGCCCAGCTCCGCTCATCCCGGCTCTTCCACCGCCCGGTGCCCCAGCTCCCCGGGCGCTTTGTGCTCCAGCTGCCCCGGAGCTCATCCCGGTGTCCCCAGCTGCTCCCTAACCCGGCGCTCCGTCTCTCCAGGAGCTCCCATCCACAGCATCCCGCTGATTCCCTATCCCGGCATCACAGCACCGACCATTTCTGGGCTCCCTGGCGCTCCAGCTCACCCTTAGCCCCGTTCCTCGGGGGGTCCCCACATCCCAGCCCCCATCCCGCCCGGAGCCCCCCGGTGACCGCGGCTGTCCCGGCTGCAGATCCGCGCTGCCCCCCGGCCCCCGGGCCCCCCGGAGGTGCAGCCATGGCGTTCATGGTGAAGAGCATGGTGGGGGGGCAGCTGAAGAACCTCACGGGCGGCCTGGGCGGCGAGGAGAAGAGCGAGGGCGAGAAGTCTCCGGCCGAGGCGCAGGGCATGACCCGCGAGGAGTATGAGGAGTACCAGCGGCAGCTGGTGGAGGAGAAGTGAGTGCGGGCGGCACCGGCACCGGCACCGGCACCGGCACCGGCACCGGCACGGGCTGAGCCCCGGGGTCCCCGCGGGAAGGGGGTGCTCCCTCTTCGGTCCCACATCCCGTGCATGGGAGATGGGGGGAGCCGGCGCTGGGGACAGCAGGACCGTGAGGGGGTTTGATGAGCCCCCTAATCCCTTAATCCGCTTCCTCGCCCGGGAGATGGGATTGTTTTCTCCTTCCAGGCTGCCCTGGGGGGAGGAAATTGTGGGAAAACGGGACTTTTCAGAGAAAATGGGGGGTGCTGAGGTTGGGGGGAAGCGCAAACCCCGGGACGGGGGGCACGGGCTGTTGGTGATTGCCCCGTGTGCTTGGCAGGATGGAGAGAGATGCTCAGTTTGCCCAGCGCAAGGCGGAGAGAGCCACGGTCAGGTCCCACTTCCGAGACAAGTACAGGCTGCCCAAGGTACGGCTGTGCTGGAACGGGGCCACGAGGGGAGCCAAGCTCCAGATGGAGCTATGGAGGGAGGGGAAGGGACAAGGACTCCCTTGGCTGGCTAGGGTTTGAGCCTCGAAGCCCAAACACAAATAAATTCCCCTCAAAACCATCCTTCTTCCCAAACTTTGGCCATTTTCCTTGCCCCTGAGCACCACAGCCCACCAGCCCGAGACAATGGGACTCCCAGCCTTGCTTGATCCCCCTCTCCCTGGCTTTTGCCCCCTAAATCCAGCTGGGTGAGGGAAAACCACCTTCACCCCAGACTCTCTGGAGCCAGGAGTGCAGCCAGGGTTGCACCTTCCTGGCCGGATTAGCCAGCTCAGCTCCTCTCCCCGGATTATTTGGCGAACGTCTCCCACCTAAACTCCGATTTTGGAATTTCCGCACAATGAACCATTCACTGAACACAATTTAATCAAGGGATAATTCAGCCTTTCTTGGACTTGTCACAAGCTCCTCTCCCTCCAAACCCACCCTGTATTCAGGAAGAGTCGCTCAGTGGTGAATACCCCAAATTGGAGCTGGGCTAATATTAGTTCTGAAGGGTCAGCTAAGCCAAGTGAGATTGCTCTGATTGTTTGGTGTTGTTCAGGCAGCCTGGATTCACCCCCCTGCTTCCCACCCCCCTTTTATATCCAGGAAATAAACAGCTGGAGAATTTCTTTTACCCCCTGCCAAAAGCCAGAAAAGGCAGAAAAAGAAGAGATGGAGATTTTTTTTATTCTCCAAGGGAAACTGGGATTTGTTTGGATCTGGCCCCAGCGATCCTGGATCCTTTCACTGCCTTCTTGTGCTTGAGATGTCCCTTCTCATCTTTTGACAAGTTTCTTCTGCTCATTACTGATCCCACTTGGCAGCCGGGCTGCCTCATCCCGAGTCTCCCCGTGGCTCCGGGCTCGGAGCTGATCCCGACCGCCGCTGGGAGCAGTCGTTAAGCATAAGCCCAGCTTAATTAGGTGCCTAAACCCCCGCAGTGCGAGCTGGAAACCAGTCTGTACTGGTGCTGCGCGTGGGTTTCCATCTCGCCTCTCGCTGTGGGTGCCCAGGCTCTCCTCAGGCGGCATCAGCATCCCACCCCCACCCCCAGGGACCTTCCCACATGGTCCTGTAAGTGGGAAGGCAGCCCAAAGCCCCTCCTGTGGTGCTTCCAGGAGCCCCCTTCCCGCTGTGCCATCCCCCCTCCTGACTCTCTCTCCCGGCCCCTTCCAGAACGAGACGGATGACAACCAGATCCAGCTGGTGGGAGGCGACGTGGAGCTGCCCAAGGAGCTGGCCAAGATGATCGAGCAGGACAACGAGGAGGAGGAGGAGAAGAACTCGGTGATCGGCCAGCTCAGTAACATCCAGAACCTGGACCTTGATTCCTTGAAGGACAAAGCCTCGGCCACGCTAGAGGACCTGAAGCAATCGGCGGAGAAGTGCTCCGTGATGTGATGGGGCTGAGCAGGGAGGGGACGCAGCGCAGGCTCTGGCGGGGGCTGCTGCCTGCAGCGGGGACCCCAGCCACGTTGTCACCCTTGCCGTGTGTCACTCGGCTCCTCCTGAGCCGCGTGGCCCCTCGAGCCCCTGACCCAGATGTCCCTGATGTGTGGCTTTCGTTTCGTTCTCCGGGCTGAGGTTAGAGCCAGGAGCCAGCATGTCCCCCCCGTACCCCACAGCCTGCCCCCGTGCCCGGGCAGGGGTGTCTGCAGCCAGAGCTGGGGAGGTGGCAGGAAGGAGAGTGACCTTGGGGTGTGATTGACTTGGAATGTGATTGGAGAGTGACAGACCTTGGAGAGTGACTGACCTCGGGGTGTGACTGACCTTGGGGTGTGACATTGGGACTCCCAGCCTTGCTTCATCCCCCTCTCCCTCGCTTTTGCCCCCTAAATCCCTCTAGGTGAGGGAAAACCACCTTCACCCCAGACTAACCTTAACCCACACTGCCCTTGGGGTGTGACAGACCTTGCAGTGTGACTGCCCTTGGGGTGTGACTGCCCTTGGGGTGTGACTGACCTTGCAGTGGTGGCCCCACGCTGTGGCTCTGCCTCCACGTTCCCACTCAGCCTCCCAGGAACGAGCGGGAGGCTCGGATTTGCCTCGCAAGGACGAGGCAGGGTGTGGAGCACCCCCCTCCCTGCATCCCATCCCCATCACCCGAGAAACAGCATCCCATCCCTGCCAGGAACACCAACCCCGTGCCCTTGAGGGCTCCTCTGAAGGAGCCAGCCGGGAAGGACCTGCCATACGATCCCTGTGGGAAGGGGGGTGCTGAAGCCTGAATTGACACCAGAGAGGAACAAAAGCCCTCCCTGGTGCTGAGCTGAGCCCGCAGCAGCCCTTCCCTGGAGCAGTGGCGTCCCTCTCCTGGGATGGGATCCTGTCCTTGTTCCTTCCAGGAGAAGAACAAAGCCATGAGGGAATATCTCCCCATCCTCCCGCTCGTCGTGCTGTAGTCGTGCCGTGCTCGGTTGAGTGTCCCTCCCCTCCTGTGCTGTCCCCGTGCCATGGTACTGTTATAACCGGTGGAATAAATACCAGGAGATGTCTATGCATTTACTTTTCTCCCCCAGCTCTGTTTTCCTGGGCAAACTTTCCTATTTTCCTGGTTTTGGGGAAAAAAATGTTCCTGCTTGCCTGGCAGCAGAATCCCAAAGAAAGCTCCTCTCCTGGCTGCACTCATATTTGGGACTAAGGGGATGCTACAAACAGCTCATTGGCAGCAGTCAGGTTCAAAGCAAACAAAATTCCCATTTTTCTGCAGTTTTTTTGGTCTATTTTAATACAAAACCTTCAGAACTCTCAGTCTCAGGGGCACTGCAGGATGCCCAGTGCACTGCTCCAAGGAAGGACACTCTGCAGGGATGAGCCCGAGCTCGTGCAGGTGTGACCCAGCCCTGGCTGCATCCCGGCAGGCAGGGGGCTCCTGTGGTGAGGCTTCCTGGAAAAACTTGGCATGGGCTGGGAATTTATCGCTCCAAATCCCGTGGGAGCTGATGAGCTGCAGTTTGGTTTTGCGAGGAAGGATGGGTCATCCAGGAAAACACAGGAGAGGGTGCTGGGAAACTGATATTAGTATTTGTATTAGTATTAGTATTAGTATTAGTATTAGTATTGGGTTTGGATCAAGCCATGCCTAGGGCTGCTGCACCAAGAGATTCCTTTCTGCTCCCAGCCCCCTGATAATCCTGTGCCAGGGCCAGGTAGTTCTGGGAAACTCCTGATGTCCATTCTCGAGAGGACAGACAGACAGACAGAGGCAGCTCAGGCTGGACACACATCCTCCCAACCCTCCAGCCCCCGGGACCAGGGGACTCCAGCAGCTCCAGGGATGTGTGCTCCCATCAGATCCCCAACCCAGCGCTGGGAGCCGGGAGCAGCGAGAGGGGAGATTGGCAGGAGCAGCTTCAGCTCTGCAAGGAGATCATACCTGATGAGGATCAGCCCGAGCTGATCTAATCCCCCACCAGGAAAGGGATAGCAGGGAGCAGGCACGGCCCCAGCCCAGCCCTCGCTGCTTAAATCCCAGCCCCAAGGCTCAGCCGGCGGGAGAGAGCGGGATCCGAACCGGGGCGGGGAACCACTGGGCTGGGATGGAGGGGGAGAGGCTGGGATGGAGGAAGGAGAGGCTGGGATGGAGGGAGGAGAGGCTGGGATGGAGGGAGGAGAGGCTGGGATGGAGGGAGGAGAGGCTGGGATGGAGAGGGAGAGGCCGGGATGGAGGGAGAAGAGGCTGGGATGGAGGGAGGATGGGCTGGGATGGGGGTGAGAGGCTGGGATGGAGGGGGAGAGGCTGGGATGGAGGGGGAGAGGCTGGGATGGAGAGGGAGAGGCTGGGATGGAGGAAGGAGAGGCTGGGATGGAGGGAGGAGAGGCTGGGATGGAGGGGGAGAGGCTGGGATGGAGGAAGGAGAGGCTGGGATGGAGGGGGAGAGGCTGGGACAGGGGTGAGGCTGGGATGGAGGGAGAAGAGGCCGGGATGGAGGAAGGAGAGGTTGGGATGGAGGGAGGATGGGCTGGGATGGGGGTGAGAGGCCGGGATGGAGGGAGGAGAGGCCGGGATGGAGGGAGGAGAGGCTGGGATGGAGGGAGGAGAGGCTGGGATGGAGGGAGGAGAGGCCGGGATGGAGGGAGAAGAGGCTGGGATGGAGGGAGGATGGGCTGGGATGGGGGTGAGAGGCTGGGATGGAGGGAGAAGAGGCTGGGATGGAGGGAGAAGAGGCTGGGATGGGGGTGAGAGGCCGGGATGGAGGAAGGAGAGGCTGGGATGGAGGAAGGAGAGGCTGGGATGGAGAGGGAGAGGCCGGGATGGAGGAAGGAGAGGCTGGGATGGAGGGAGGAGAGGCTGGGATGGAGGGAGGAGAGGCTGGGATGGAAGGGGAGAGGCTGGGATGGAGGGAGGATGGGCTGGGATGGGGGTGAGAGGCTGGGATGGAGGAAGGAGAGGCCGGGATGGAGGGAGGAGAGGCTGGGATGGAGGGAGGAGAGGCTGGGATGGAGGAAGGAGAGGCTGGGATAGGGCAGCAGGGGCAGGCTTCCCCTCCTGCCTTTTCCCTGCCCACCAAGGGATGCATCCACGCTCACCCCACGGGAGAGCAGGATCCCAAGCGGAGCAGGGGATGCAGCCCCGCGGTTCATCCCCCCAGAACCAGCCAGGATCCTCTCCCGCACCTTTCCCTGCCCCCTCCCCTTGCCCTGCCCCCCGTGCCCGACCCCTGGGCTGTGCTCGGCGCTCTCCCGGCCCACGTGAGCCGCGCAAAGGCCGCGTGAAGCTCGGCGGGTTTATTTTAGGAGGCACCATGACCCCCAGGCATGTGAAAGGCAGGCAGGCAGCCCCCGCTGCCCCCGCCCGGCTCCCGAGACGTGTTAAGCCTCAGCAGAGCGTTCCCGGCAAAGCCGAGCGGCGGCAGCGCCGAGGATGCTGCTGTCCCTGCTGTCCCTGCTGCCACCGCTGGGCCACAGCCTGCACTGGGGAGGAGAGGCTGGCATGGACGGAGGAGGGACTGGGATGGAGGGAAGAGAGGTCGGGATGGAGGCATGAGTCTGGGATTGGGGGATGAGAGGCTGGGATGGAGGGATGAGAAGTCAGGATGGAGGAAGGAGAGGCTGGGATGGAGGGAGGAGAGGCTGGGACGGGAGTAAGAAGCTGGGATGGAGGGATGAGGTCAGAATGGGGGCAGCAGGGGCAGGCAGCCCCTCCTGCCTTTTCCCTGCCCACCAAGGGATGCATCCCAGTTTCCAGCAGTTGCTGCTCCTGTATCCTGAGCATCCCTGCAGCCTCCATGCCATACGACTGCTCCGGGCATCAACACACAGACTGAAAATCTTAAAGCAAAGAATAAGTGTGGATTAAAGCAGAAAATGTTGTTTTTCTCTCTCTCTTTTACAGGTTTTATATCATTCCCTCACCTTTGGGGCTGGGATTGGGATAGGTTTGTCCAAGCAAGCCCTTGCTGGTTGCTGGAAGACGCTGGCAGTAACGAATTTTGTCAATAAAATAAAATAACTTTTATTGATCAAATAACATAAATTTTATTGACAAAACTCCTGCCCTCCTGCACCAGCCCATTGCTCAGCTGGCTGCAGGATCTTCCTCCTTCCCAGTGGTGAGTGTGGGACGAGTGAGTGGCTTCCCCAATGGATAAAGCATTAAATGAGCAATTGTTAAAGTGCTGAAACAAATGAGCTGCCACGGAAGGCTGGGGAATCTCCCTTCTCCTTTTTGCAGGCAATTAAACTTCCCTGAGAGTGGCTGTGGGAAGGGATGGCCCATCCATCCACCCACTGCTGGTGCAACAACCAGGATTAATCCAGATTAAAGAGCCGTGGGGAAGCCCAAGGCTGGCTCCACACACTGACCCAGCTGTCCCCAGCACATCGTGCCTGACCTCGCGCCACCCCATGCGCTGCCACCGCCAGGGTGACAGCCCAGCTGCCACTCCCCACCTCTCTGGGTGACAATCAGGCCCCAAGAGCCACCCTTGAGGGTTGGGAGAGCTCTTTGGAAGGGCTGAGTGGGGGCATGGATGGGACTGGAGGGGAGCAGCTCCTCCCTGAGCAGCACAGTGACAGAGGCCACGCTGCCAGGCCGGGCACTGCTCCCTTTGTGCCACCTTCCTGTGGGAAATCCAGGACTCTTGGACAACTAATCACTATGATTAAGGAGAATCCATTTATTGTTTATATTATGTATTTATTTATACATTTTAAGTCTACTGATCACCTGATCACACATTTCTTATTGGTGTCTCTGCTTGTCCACGTGTTCTGGAATATGTGATTGGTGATGGTCCAGGTGGCTCACAGCTCTCTGTTACCTCTTTCTTGCAGTCTTGGAATTCAGTTTCTTTTCTTCTTTCTTATTTTAGCACAGTTTATATCTTAGTAACATTGATGAATTCTAGAGAGCCCTGAGAAAATCCTGCTAAGAGCAGTTACAAGCGGAATAACCGGCGCACCCTGTCACTGCTCGGACACATCGCTCCCCTTCCCTTGGTGACATTTGGGCAGCCAAAAACCCCCATGCAGGTGACACTGACATCCACCCCGACTCCATCAGCCCCAGGGGAGCACCCAGAGGCTGGTCCTGCTCCCAGGGCTGGGGCTGGGCCGTGCTGTGCTGGCGGCCGAGCGTGAAGGCAGATGCGATTATCCGCACCGGCTGCTGCAGCCGCCACGGGCCGGGGGAGGACACGGGCTGGGAAAGCACTTTAAAGCCTCAGGGTATAATCTCTGCTCTGAATAATAATGATAATAAGAGTAAAAAGAGATAAAAAAGAGTAAAAAAAGATACACAAGTGCCTTGTCGCATCTGCCCGGGAAGCTCCGCGCTGGTTTGAGCACGGAGCAGCCGGCACTGGGGTGGGATGTGGGGGGAGGCTGTCGTGGAAGAGGTCATGGCTCAGAATATCTGTGGGACACCCCAAAAATCCCCCTGTTGCTCACCTCAGCCTTTCTGCTTTCCCTCATGGCCCAGCCCAGCCCTTCCTCACCTGCCACAAAAATCTATTGGAGAAAACAGGAATTTACGTAATGGTTCGTGTTGTTCTGCCCTGTGTTTTACACACACACACACAAAAAATAAAAAGATGGGAAGTGAAAACAAGGTCAAACCTTGCTTTGGCTGCCTCGTGTCCCTGGGGAGCACAGGAAGGGAGAGCACTGCTGGAGCAGAGGAGGGGACACCCCAGCTCTGCTCCTGGGGGAACAGGGACCAGGGTCCCCAGCCCACCTCAATGGCTCCAGGACCCCAGGCTGCCTCTGGGTCCTGGCCTTGCCTGGGGACCCCTGTTAGCCTTAAATCACAAACCTCAGCGCAGAGGAGGTGGAGAAATCAAAATTAAAATTTATTGAAGACAATAAATTACATTCCCTTGAGATACAGTAGATTTTTGAGACAAGTACCTTGTTTTGTAGGACAGGCAACATCAGCACCCCATAACAATGACTCCTGGGAGCATAATTTGGATGTTGGGGGTGCCAGGGCCCTGAGGAGTGGAGCAGGGCAGGCAGGATGCTGAGAGTGTCTCCCTGAAGGTGACTGACTGCTGCTCGTGCCCGACTCAATCGGTCCCCGCTGAGCACTGCTCACGGTCGTGACACTGATGATGCAGCCAGTACCTGCCAGGCTCCAGGTTTAGGAAGGAAAAGCCTCATTCCCAGTGCTCCAGCAGTGAGAGGCAGGGAGGTATGGCCAGCCTGGGCCAGTGCAGTGGCTGCTGGATGGAGGCTGGACGAGCAGCAGTGGATGCAGAGGTAGATGCTGGGCAAGGAAGGCACAGCGGAGCATCCCTGCCCACCCTCAGCTCCCAGCTGGATTTGTGGGCTCCCCCAGAATTTGGGAGGTGGAACAACCACCCAGCTGAAGAAGCAGGGGGGATGTCCTGCCAGAGCCCAGTGCCAGGATAAAAATACCCTTCCTGTGGAGCCAGTGGAGGGAATTAGAGTGGAATAACCCGCCCGCTGTGCCAGGGGAGGCTGCAGCAGCAGACGGCCGAGGCAGGGCTGGCAGGGAAATGAGCCAGCGCCTGGGAGAGGGGCAGATGGCCCTGCTGACCCCCCCGGGGCTGGCAGCCCGAGGGTGACCCCCCAGGTGTCACCCCTGGGGGTGGGGGGGACGGAAGCCAAAGCCTTCCCTTGGTGCCGGTGTCTCCTGGCAGGGCAGCGAGCAGTGTCCCACAGGGCAGCTCCGGGGGTCACTGCAAGGTACAGGCTGTGCCGGGGCACACGGGGACACTCACCGGGCTGTCCCCGCCCCTGCCACCCCCCAGGAGGGCTCAGGGGGCACAGGGCCCGTGCTGGGTGGGGTTGGGATCAGCCTCGGGCTGGGGAATATTCCCCAATCCCCGTGGCAAAGGGGGACTCACCGCTCCGGACGGACTCTGCCAGCGCCTCTTTGCCCATGGATTGTGCCTCCCGCATCTGCCAGGGGACAGGGGGATTTTCCAACCTTCATCCTCCCCCAGCATGCTCCAGAGCACCCCCCCCAGCCATCATACCTTGATCTGATCCTTCAGGTACTCGGCTCGGGCCATTAGGGTCTGGATCTGGTGGGGAGAGAGAGAGAGGACACAGTCCCTCGGGGCCAGGCCAGCGGGGACAGCAGTGTCCCAGGGCTGGCACTCACCTCTGCGTGGAGCAGCTCCCGCCGCCGTCCCGCTGGCTCCGCTGCAGGGGAAACGTGCCAGGGCATGAGGGACGGGAGCAGGACCCATCCCTGCCCTAAAAGCCCGGCCTCAGTCCCAACTCACCGGCCAGGAGCAGCAGCAGCTCCCCCAGGCTCTGCTGGTACAGCTCCAGGGCGTCACTGTCATCCCTGCCCTCCTCCTCCTGCAAGAGGCCCCACGGGCTGGCTGTGTTTGGTGGGGTCCAGCAGCCCCCTCCTCACCAGGTCTGCACTTTCCCCTTCCCTCGAGGGGTGAGGGGACCCCCAGGGCCACCCCTCACCTTGGCAATGGCAGCCGAGGCCACTTCCAGCGCCGCGCAGAGCCGAGGTTTGTCCTTGGCCATCTCTGCAAGGGGACACAGGGATTGCCCAAAACCTTCACCCTTCAGCCCAAAACCCCACCACAGCTCCTGCCAGCTCTGACACCAGGGGATGGGCAAAAATCACTCACTACCTTTAAGGAGCTCTCTGGCTGGGTTTCCTTTCTCCAGGAGGTTCTTGTTGCTGGAGGTGACCAACACCTTCAGCTCCTCTGCTCGGGAGATGTACTGCCTCACCTGTGCACAGTTTGGGGGTGAGGAGACCCCCAATATGGGGTGCAGAGGATGGGGTGCTTTCCCCACCCCCCCAGACGTTTTGGCTCACCTTGGCCCGGATGGCTTCTTTGCGCCGCACGTCACTCTCATCTAAGGGGGAGAACAACCAAACACAGGGGTGGGTGGGCTAAAAACTGGCCTCCCTCGGGGTGCTGCCCCCCAGAAATACACCCAGACCCCACAAAGCCCCCAGGGGGGACTCACAGTGCAGTGCTGGCACGAAATACTCCAGGGCTTTGCGGTAGAGGGAGAAGGCGGCAGCGGCGTCTCCCTCCTGATCCTTCCTCACCGCCTCCACCACCAGGTCAGTCTGGGGGACACAGGGGGGGTCTCAGGGCTTGGAACGGCCCCGTTGGCAGGCAGCAGCCCCCAGCCCTGCTCACCGCCTTGCCCAGGCTCTCGGGGCCGGGCACGTGCTCCATGTCCACAAAGGGGTGGGCAAAGAAGCACTCGAAGGAGATGCGCTTCCGAGGGTCCCTCTCCAGCAGCTGTGCCAAGAGATCCCGGCATTCCAGAGAGAGCTGGGGCCGGCTGGGAAGCTGGGGAGGGAAGGGGCTGAGCCCACAGAGCGCTGTGAGACCCCCCCCCCCAGCCCCATCCCACCCCACCCCACGTTACCTCCACAGCCCGGTCACTGCGGATCTTCTCCTCCAGCTCGGCGAAGGAGCGGGAAGCAAAGGGCGGCTTCCCAAAAAGTGCTTCTGTGGGGGGAAAAGGAGAGGTGGGGGAATATGGAGAGGGGGGAAGCAGCCCTGAGTAGAGCCCCTTGGAGCAATAAAAGCCAAACCCACCATAAAGGATGACACCCACAGACCAGAGGTCCACGCGGGCGTCGTAGTGCTGCCGACACACCATCTCGGGGGCCATGTAGAGCGGGGAGCCGCGCAGCACGTGCTTCTCGTCCCACGGGGACATGTACTGAGCAAAGCCGAAATCTGCCGGGCAGAGAGCTCATGGGGGCACAGGGAGAAGGGATTTGCCCCCTGCCAGCCCCTGCTAGGGGCTGTCCTGACCTGCCAGCTTCAGCTGGGGGTTCTCTGGCGCGCTCAGGAGGATGTTCTGCGGCTTCAGGTCCAGGTGGGAGATGTTGTGGTCGTGGAGGAACTTCAGGGCACAGGCTGGGCGGGTGGATGGGCACGTGAGAGCACAGCCCTGTACCCAAAAACCCTCAGGGAGGGTCCTCAGCAGAGGCAGGGTGGGAGCCAGGCAGGGTGTCCTCACCAAGCTGCTGCAGGAAGACGCGTGCCACCTTCTCGGGGAGCATCCGGCGTGTCCGGATGAAGCGGGACAGGTCCCCCCCGGCACAGAACTCCATGATCAGGTAGATGTGGTCACTGTCCCACTGTGAGACAATGAGATCCCGCCGTGCCACCCCGGCCAGTCCCACCCACACAGCTTCACCTGGACCAGTTTGCCCAGTTGCTGGCACCAAACTCCATGGACACACCCGTGGGAAGTGGGGATGGATCCAAGCCAGAGTAGCTCTGGCTCAGAGTCCCCCCGGGAAGCCCCCAGCCCACCTGGAAGTCCTTGAGCTCCACAATGTTGGGATGGCGGATGGTCTTGAGGATCTCGATCTCTGTCAGCAGGTTCTCCACCGATGCCCGGTTCAGGCTCCTCTTGTTGACGCACTTGATGGCCACCACCTCACGTGTGTCCCTCTATCAGGAGGGGGGCAACGCTGGACCCCCACCCAAACAGCCACCGCGGGTGGGGAGGGGAGGGAAGGAACCCCTGCAAGGGGGCAGCAGGTGCCAGGCGAGGGCTAGGGGGGTGGTACCCGATGTGGAGGGCTGGAAAACAAATCTGGTACCCTTTGTGGAGCGCTGGAAAACGGAGGTGGTACCATGTAAAGGGCTGGAAAACGGGGGTGGTACCACATGCGGAGGGCTGGAAATCGGGGGTGGTACCCCATGTAAAGGGCTGGAAAACGGGGGTGGTACCCCATGCGGAGGGCTGGAAATCGGGGGTGATACCCCATGCGGAGGGCTGGAAAATGGGGGTCCCACGCGAGTGGTGGGGCCAGATTCCGGAGCAAAAAGGCGACCCCCGCGGCGGGCTCGGCCCTACCTTCCTGTAGGCCTTGTAGACGGTGGCGTAGGTGCCGGAGCCGAGGGGCTCGGTGAGGATGAACTCGTCGAGGCGCGGCGGGGCCCAGCCGGGCCCGGCCATGGCCCCTCCGGAGCCCCGCTCCCGGCACTCGGGGCCCGGGAGTCGCTTCCGCCTTCCCGGCGCGCCACGGCGCAGGCCACGCCCACACAAATCAATGACCACGCCCACACATTTCATCTCCGTAGCAAGCCACGCCCCCCGGTCCCACCCCGTCCATATTGGTCACGCCCCCCAAACCCCAATCACAACAGGCCACGCCCTCCCCGCCGCCGCCGCCGCACGGGCACCGCGTCTGGACCACATGAACAATTTTTTATTAATAATTTTTTAAACATTAAAAGATCAGACGCGAGGGAAAAAAAAATCCAATAATACAGAAGGAAAAGGGTGTAAAAATACCGATTTCTGTATCCCAGCGCCCCCCGCCGCCCCTCACCGGCACAGGAGGGGGGGGTCTGATACAACCCCACCTCGGCAAAGGGGCACCGCAAAGCCAAATCTGCATTAAACCCCCCCCGACACCTAAACCACGGGGCTGAGGGAGGGAGAGGTGGGAACCTGCCCCCATCCGCCCCTCCGAGTCCCAAGGGACAGCCCATCTTGGGATACAGCTGAACACACACACATGGAAACAGTTCCTTCCCAGCTAAAAAAAAAATTAAACTCGTCAGGAGGAAGGCAGGGAGGAGCCTTCCCTAGAGAAAGACTCATTCAAGGTTAGCTGGAGAAGGGCGTCACAGGCACTGTGCGACCCGGCGTCTTCAGCTGCCCCAAGCTGGAGCTGGGAGCCAAACCAAAATCCCTTTTCCCCTCCCTCTCCTGGTCTCAAGTCACTGAGAAGACTCAGCCCCCACTGATCCCTTCTCCCCCTCTCCATGCTCAGGGCTGGCACCTGCAGGATCCTCCTGGAAGCAAGGGATGTGCCCTGGAGGGACCAGAGGAAATACATCCCCTCCCACATTCCCCCCTGCTCCCAGATTTTCCTTCGTGGCTCTCAGGAAGCCCAGCAGTTATGAGGTCAAAATACAGCATTGTGTGAGTGTAATAAACCAAAAGTACAGTTTCTGTTCTTAAAATTAACGACATCAACTACATGCACGTTACAAAACCCTCCCGAAACAGCAGATAATCAAATTCTTCATAGCAAAGGCCAAGAGAAGAGAGAGTAAAATCAAAAACCTGCTTCCCCTCATCTTCCTGCTACAGACAGAGTGAGGGGAGGAAGAGACAAACACCTGGAAGGTCCTGGAGAGAGGAATATTTGCCTCAGAGAATGTCTTCCCCCATCTCCCCACACCCTAAAACAAGACAGGGAAAAGGAATCATCCAAACCGTAGCTCAGCTGAAGCCAAGAAAAAAAACCTCTTCTCATCAGGAGTGTCGGCATCACAGAGCTCACATGGTACCCCCAAAAAAGTGCATTTTCAGAAAAAAAAAACAAAAATAAAAATAGAAGGTTGGGGAGATGAGGGCAGAGGAAGCAAGAGGGAGGCAGCCCAGGAAGAAGGGCTGGATTTCCCAGGAAGAAGGGCTGGATTTGCTGGGCAGGGTTAGTTTCCTCTGAAAGCACTCTGTGCAGCTGAGGAGGCTGCCCCAGCTGCTGCGTTCTGGAAGCTCCTGTTGGTGAGGATGCCTTGGGAAAACTCCTCCTGGGCCCTCTGGAAGCTGGCTCCTGTGCGCCGATACAGGGAATGCACCTGGGGAAGAGAGGGGAGGGAAAGAGGGATTGAAATCAGCCCGTGGCTGTGGGATTGCTGCACACACCCAGCTGGTCCTTGGCTAAGAGCTCCCTGGACAGCTGCACAGCATGGGCTGCAGCCAGTGGCTCCATGGCAGATTTCAGGAGAGCTTCATTTGCTGAAAAATGTGGAGCTCTCAGCAAAATTAGTGGTTTCAGACCCAAAACTCCACAAACTGTGATGGCTCAGGCTTAACCCAGTATTTGCTGCAGGGCAGGACCTGAAGGTGCCAACAGCATCAGGTATTTCCTTCAAGATAAAGGCAGGAGAAAAGAAGGAAGTACCATCAGAAAGAGGATCAGTCCAGCCTGTCCTTGGCTTCCCCCAAGCTCCATTTCTGCTGTTCCTGCAGAAATCCAGCCCAGCTGTGGGCAGGCAGGAGGAGGGAGGAGGGCTGGGTGTAGGAACCAGTGGGAAGGCACTCACTGGGACCCCACCAGGGTTTGAAAAGCCCCACAACGCTGTGGGAGCAGTGACTGAAAATCCCTGAGTGCTGAACAGAGCCATGGCCACCTCTGCTCTGCCAGCTCCAGGCATGACAAGGGGCAATGGTTTTAAACTGCCAGAGGGCAGGGTTAGATGGGATATCAGGAAAAAAATCCTTCTCTGTGAGGGTGGGGAGGCCCTGGCACAGGTTGCCCAGAGAAGCTGTGGCTGCCCCAGGATCCCTGGAAATGTTCCAGGCCAGGTTGGACAGGGCTTGGAGCACCCTGGGAGAGGGGAAAGTGTCCCTGCCCTTAGCAGGAGGTAAGATGAGCTCTAAGGTCCCTCCCCAAATCATTTCATGATTCTATGATTCCAAAGGGAGGCTACTTCCCACTTCAAGACTGTCCAAAAAATTTGGCATCGCCGCAGGAAGCACAAGCAAAACCACTTTAATTAAAACCTCCTGACCCACCAGTGCCCCTATCCCATTGTCATTCCCAGGTGGGTGAAGGGAGGCATCAAACCCAGGAGCCCTGGGGGCAGCCTGAGCTCTGCTGGCCCCCGAGGCACTCACCTGCTTGAGGAGGAAGAGGGAGAGCACGGCGCAGAGCGTGAAGAAGGCTGCCACCACCATCATGATCACCACCACGGCCACGTTGCCGTGCACCTCCGACAGCGCCGCGATCCAGCCGCTGCCAGGGACAGGAGAGAGAGGGGCTGGGCATGGGCAGCATTCCAGCACAGCTGGAGCACAGCAGGGAGCACAGCCGTGCTGCAGGGGAAGGTTACAGGGCAGCACCAAACCAAGCAGCTGTGAAAACGGGAGCCTGGAGCTCGTCCAGGCCTTTGTTTTGGGGATAGAGTTTCCATTAGCATTTTTAGAGGAGGATTGTGCTCATCCCACCCACATTCCAGCCCTGTGCCCTCCCCTCAGGCAGCAAAATCAATACCCTTGGCGCCAACAATGACTTCCATGGGCACCTTCTCAAAATTCAGCCAAGTGGGGTAAAGATAGGCTGGAACAGCTGAATTGGGAGAGATCAGCTGGCAGGTCTGGAGCCTGGACCTGGGTGTCACCCTGACAGGGATGAAAGGGTCAGGAGCAGGAGGGAGGGGCAGGAAGGCATGGAAGTGGTGAAACCCTGGCACAGGCTGCCCAGAGCCTTCCAGGAATGGCTGTTCCATCCCTGGAAGTGTCCCAGGCCAGGCTGGATGGGGATTGGAGCTACCTGGCATAGTGGAAGGTGTCCCTGCTCATGGATGAGATGAGCCTTAAGGTCCCTTTCAACCCAAAGCATTCTGTGATTCCATCATTCCAAGTTCCAGACACTGGGAGGTGTTGAAGGGAAGGGGCAGGGAGAATTCACAAAGTTATCAGCACTTGGCTGTGGCTGAAAATACCAAGACACCTCACACAGAACACCTTCCTGGGTGCTGGAGAAAGGAACCTTTCCAAGTGCTCCACCAGCACACCGTGTGCCAGCAGCAGCAGGAGGGATGGGTCTCATCCCATGTGTGGCACCGCTCCTGGCAGCACAGGGAAGCAGAAAGGCACACCACACACTGCAGCCAAAAATAACCCACGCTGGCTGGCAGCAGGAAATGGAGCAGAGAGCTGCAGGCAGCCTCTCCAGGCCAGACCGAACAATCCCCTCCCCATCCCCCGTGACTCGGGCAGGGGGAGGCGGGGACAGCGCTGCCCACGGGCCCCTCTGCAGGCACAGGGCAGAAACAGACAGCAGCTCCTGCCTGGAGGCTGCCCTGGGACAGGCACCACGGGCTGCTGGCCTTCCCTGATCTTCCCTGAGCTCCAGAACAGGCTGCTGACCTTCCCTGAGCTCCAGAACAGGCTGCTGACCTTCCCCTGAGCTCCAGAACAGGCTGCTGACCTTCCCTGAGCTCCCTGACTCCAGAACAGGCTGCTGACCTTCCCCTGAGCTCCAGGACAGGCTGCTGACCTTCCCCTGAGCTCCAGAACAGGCTGCTGACCTTTCCTGAGCTCCAGAGCAGGCTGCTAACCTTCCCCTGAGCTCCAGAACAGGCTGCTGACCTTCCCCTGAGCTCCAGAACAGGCTGCTGACCTTTCCTGAGCTCCAGAACAGACTGCTGACCTTCCCCTGAGCTCCAGAACAGGCTGCTGACCTTTCCTGAGCTCCAGAACAGACTGCTGACCTTCCCCTAAATTCCCTAAATCCAGAATAGGAGCTGCTAACCTTCCCCTAAGCTCCCTGACTCCAGAACAGGCTGCTGACCTTCCCCTGAGTTCCCTAATTCGAGAATAGGAGCTGCTAATCTTCCCTGAGCTCCCTGACTCCAGAAAGGGCTGCTAACCTTCCCCTGAGCTCCAGAACAGGCTGCTGACCTTCCCCTGAGCTCCAGAACAGGCTGCTGACCTTCCCCTGAGCTCCCTGACTCCAGAACAGGAGTTGCAGCAGGGGCAGCAAGGTGAAAGGAAAGGCTGTGCTCTCCCTGCAGGGCACAGCTGCTGACATGAGGCTGCTGGACCTGCTCCAAAAGCTCAGGCTCACCCTTCTGGACAATGTCACTGAGAAAGGGAGAGGCCAAAAGCCTCTCTGCTTATCTCAGCCCACCAAGCACATGCTCCAGAGGGATACAGGGAGAGTTTGGGGACAGAGTTGGGGTGGTAGCAGCAGTATCAGGCTGAGCAGTAGCCAGATTTCAGGTCAGAGATCCCTCAGCCCCACACTGCTGTCAGGGAAGGCTCCAGTTTGAACAAGGCAGATCTGGTTCACATCAGAGGAGCAAATATGATCTGTACTGAGTGAGGGAGAAGAGGCACAGAAGAGTTCTCACAGAATCACAGAACAGTTTGGGTCAGAAGGGGCCTCAAAATTCATCACATTCCACCTTCCTGCCATGGGCAGGGACAATTCCCACTATCCCAGGGTGCTCCAAGTCCCATCCAACCCAGCCTT